CGTACATCTGGAAAGGCACCATCAATACTAAAAGATATATCCAGGTTTTAGAGCAGCATGTGCTCCCATCCAGACAACGTCTTTTTCAGGGAAGGCCTTGCCTATTGCAGCAGGATAATGCTAAAACGCATACTGCATCTATGACAACAGCATGGCTTTGTAGTAGAAGAGTCCGTGTTTAACTGGCCTGCAGTCCAGACCTTTCACGAATTGTAAATATTTGGTGCATTTTGAAACAAAAACTCAGGACTGTTGAGCAGTTAGAATCCTATATCAGGCACGAATGGGACAACATTCCTCTCCCAAAACTCCAGCAACTGGTCTCTTCAGTTCTCAGATGTTTACAGAGTGTTGTTAAAAGAAGAGGGGATGCTACACAGTGGTAAACCTGGCCCTTTCCCAATTTTTTTGAGATGTGTTGCTTCCATCAATTTCAAAATTACCTTATTTGTTCCTTTAAAATGGTCCCCCTCCAGAACGAAGGACAGTGTCAGCGCCAATTCAGAGATGATTTGAGGATCTACAGCCGAGTGATACACAAATAAGATACAGTTTTGTTAATAGTTAAGGTACTTGAATTTATTTTTAAGATTTAACTCTTGAGTTTAGTGTCACAATTCTGGAAGCAATGGAATATGCAGTTACTTTTAAGTGATTGGACAATGGCAATTCAAAGCTGTAAGGACAGCCCTGCACAATGCCTCCCACCCCCAGTCTGCCTCAGTTTTTGCTAGTGTCTTAAGGTGACGAATGCCTTCTCTCTGCTCAGAAAGAAGCATATCCTTTTCTGCAATTATCTGATCAAGACTCTTCTAGCAAGTTTCCCAAAGCTGCTCAAAGCCACCACTGCACCCATGAGCAACTATCCAGCTGAACCTTGGCGGACCATACCCGGCCCCTAAGGAAGATGTGAGGTGGCCTGTAATGTGTTCAGGGCACTGGATGCTGCATCGGGTACCCATCTTGGCATTTTGTGCAGAGCTTGCAGTTGCCACAGGGTGCTATAAAGGTTCAGGGCTATGGTCCATCTCTAGGGAACCCTGTCCCTAAGTACCCCCTTTTGGGGGTATGCCCCCGGGAGGATGAAATCCGAGTGGGGCATATCCAATTAAAATGGCTGCAGTTCTCGTCTGGTAACAGCTACTCTGAAAGTCAGGTAAGCCAGGGCTAGTCCTTGCTAGACCCCTACCTCTGCAAGGGTTAATATGGTGCTTTGGGGAGCAGTCAGGCAGCGTGTCCTCCAACTGGGTGTGTCAGGCAGCGTGTCCCCCAACTGGGTGTGTCAGGCAGCGTGTCCCCCACAGGGGT